GAGCTATATGAAGGGAGCTTGCGAAAAATTTATGGTAATGGCGGAATTTGTCCAAAATAACGACTGCAGATATAAAAAGGTAACAGTCACGGAGGTACGAGAATTAAATAAAAATATAACAATATTCTGAAAATTTAAGATGGATAAAACGGGCAGTTTTGTGAACTCTGACGATAAGGCCGATGAGCAATCAACTACTGCTTCTTCTTCAGTTCCCGATTTGGGTCCAACACAGGGTGGCGATGTTGAAAATTATAGTGAGGTACCTTCTTGCCAAAATAAAAGTAATGAGAAAATAATGAAGTCCTGGCCAACAGTAGTTTAAAACCATGGCTTCTTCGTCGGCACCTTGAGACAAGACATCCAAATTACAAGGATGAAGTATTGAGCATTTTAAAAGGAAATTGGAAGGTAATAAGAATTGTAGTGTTTCTTCTTTCCTGTAGGCTTTCAACGCAGATAGTAAAATGGCTCTTGAAGCATCATTTCGAGTTAGCTACAGCATCGCAAGATCTGGAAAAGCTCATTCAGTAGCAGAAAATTTGATCGGAGCTTGTGCTAAAGACATCGAAATGTGTTTTTTTGGAGAAAAAGCTGCAAAAAAAAATGACCTTGTGCCCCTATCAAACAGCAGAGTGTCACGGAAAATTAACGATTTGGCGAACAGTGTTGAAAGTGAACTTCTGAAAAGAATAAAATTGAATTATTTTGCTATTCAGCTCGAGGAGTCGACCGATGTAGCAGACTGATATATTCCATTCAAGAAGATGTGTTATTTGCAAAACCACTGTAAACTTATACGACTGGTGCAGCAACTTTTATTGTGATCAATGACTGTTTAAAAAAAAACATAAAATCAACTGGTCATTTTGCTTAGGTGTTGAAAATCAATTTGGTCTTGTGGCACGAATGAAGAAGATCAACGAGAATATAGAATGGACTCACTGATGTATTTCTAGGCAAGCATTGGCATGTAAGCGTATTCATGCAGAGTTAGCCAGTACTTTAAGCGAAGCTGTCAAAGTTGTGAATTTTATAAAGTCCCGTGCTACAAATTCTCGTCTATTCCGTGAACTTTGTGATGACCTGGGAAGTCTCCACGTCTCTTTATTACATCATACAGAAGTTAGGTAGCTTTCTCCTGGCAATGATTTGAGCCGCTTGTTTAAATTGAAGTCTGAAGTTCAGGTATTTTTTATTGACCATCCATTTCATTTGTCCGCTTCTGTATCCGACATTCTGTGGCTCCAAAAACTTGCATACTTAGCCGATATTTTTTCTAAGTTAAATGAACTAAATGTCCTTCCAACGTCCAGGAATCACCATGATAGAACTGAAGTCATGCTAAAAAAGTTCAACTTTTGGAATCAATGTCTGCAAATGAATTATTACGATTGTTTTAGCTCTCTCAGCAGCTTTTTAAAAGATAACAAAATTCAACTCAACGAAAACATTAAAAGAGATATTACTGAACATCTCAAACAGCTTCAATTAACGTTCAAAGAGTATTTTCTTAATAAACTTGGATCAAACAACTGGTTACGCAATCCTTTTGTTGTTACCGTTCTGTACATCGTATCTGTGTGAGAAAGGATTTTTAACATGCACTTACCTCAAAGATAAGTAAATATATAATAGATTAAATGCAGAACCCGATCTATGACTTAAGCTTTCAGACATTGGACCAAATTTTGAATTTATTTGTTTCAACAAACAGGCACAAATATCCCAGAGAGGATTTTTGCAAGTATCGAATTACTTATATTCATATTATATTACTCCTTTTCTTTGTAACTCTGTTAGTTTTAATAACGTTTCTCTAAATGTTTTACGTTACAATTATGTTTTAATTTACTTATAATTCCTGCGGTTTCTATTATTTCCAACGTTGTCGTTGAGGTATAAGTAATTATTGTGTTGCATCTGTCGAGATCGCATGTTCAAGATATCTCTCTTATTCTCAGCTCTCTATTAAGACCTGCTATAAATAGATGAGGTCATTTTAAAGTATCCCGTTTGGGAATTTCGGTCTTTTACTTGCGTGCATATGGCATGTGTGAAGGATGTTCGTCAATATATTTTGTCGGAAAATTGGACTGGTCGACAGCTGCAATCTTTTCAAAGAGGTAGTAATACGTTTAGTGAAATTTACGAAGCGCAAAATGGTGGAAGTGGAGAGGAAACTAACAATTTATGAGATTAGGGATAGGTGTTAGGTGGCCCCATCGTATGCCGCTGGAAGTGATAATTAAAATGTGTGGTTTGAATGAAAACATGGATGGCCTACACCAGCGCGTCTCAAAAACTCAGACGCCGTCTAAAGTCAGCTGCTTTCCCACTATCTGCATGAAATGCACTTGGTAGCCTATACCTTCGAAGAAAACTTCTGAGACCACTTTTGGAGAAACCGATAGATTCTCATTTTCAAAATATAAGAACGAACTTTCAAAGAGTCGTTGGAATTTGACGCACACTGTATAAAAAAGAGCCTTCTTTTAGCTGCCTGTTGACCGGTCATGTTTATCACGCGTCTGCATCTCCATCCACTCGACGCCAACTGCAAATAAAGCTGTCTGCAATTTTCTTTTGTCTTCTGAGCGATGAGCTCCATAAAACAAGATGTTCTCGATTCTGGAACGAGTGGCATTGTGAATCGTTTAATAATCATTTCAGTCGCAAGATTTAGGGTTTATAGCGTTGAAATTTACAATAGCGCTAGGTTATTTGTAAAATATATTAAAATCTTTTTTATCTTTAGTTGCAAGTTCATTTGAGGCAAGTTGATTTGAGGCGATGACTTCCATGTCAGTTCATCAAAGTTACTGAACTTTACGAATTTCTACAGGAACTTGTATAATATTCAAAAACAGATTTTCCAATCCCCATTTCAGCTGCTTATTAGCCGGCCATGCTTACCACATGTCTAAAATTTCAGTCGTATTTCTTTTTTTGTTTTGTGGGCCTTCCTCTCGATAGAAATAGTTGGCGTCAAGTAGGCTCACTCTGCACCTCCCACACAACGCTGTCATCAGTCAAGTCAACCAAATAGGCCCATATACAATTAGAACATACTCCATAGTCCATATCCGTTTGATAACGCTATTTTCTTCCCTGTCCTATCCCTATCCGGCAACGCTTCTGGACCACTAAAAAAAACGCGTTATAAGCGCAAGCCACGAATTATCTGACCGAGTCAGTCTACTTGCTTTTTAAAAAGATTTATTTTCGATTATCAAAGTACAATTCTATTGATGTATATAGTATAAGCGTTAACAACAGACTAACTAACCGTGAATACAATAAAATAGGACTGGATAAGGCAAAGTGCTGATCCAGGGAAACTTCATCCTCTTCTTTAGTGGTAGGGGTAAATCTTCTGTACTATAACGCCTCCCCTCGTAGATGTAACTTCGAGGGTTAACGAGGAAGTTGCACTTTCGAAAGATCAACTTCTTCAATAGGGTTTTTTTGTGGTTTCTTCGGCTTAGTAAAAATTATCGGAATGATCTTCTTGTAGACAAAACAGCAAAGTAGCAGCAGCAGTACTCCATACAACAGGATTGTCCAAGAACTGGGAATGTGCGACGCCTTATGTGAATGGATGTCAACACGATTTTCTATTAATCTTCTTTTTATTTTGTGAACTTCATCAAATTCTATTTGGTCCAGATGAAGGCTGACGTCATTCGGCTTGGTAGCAATTGAAGTATTGGTATCGATATTTGGAAAAATAATTGGCTGACTTCCAATCGATAGAGGTTCTTGATTGGCGATGAGGACTTGATTTAGTTCCAGTGTACAACTGACTAGAATTTCGGCTAAGTGGGATCCCAAAACTTTGACTGCTTCTTGGTCTTCTTGACAGCTTAACGTAATCGTGGTTTCATTGGGTATAAGCAAGATCCATTGTCCGAAATCATGCAGTTTCTTCATTACTGGATCTGTGATTACGGCTTCTACTTCTCGGCAGGTAGTGGGAGTTTTTTGTTCCAGGAATTGAACTTCACAGGGACTGGATTCTTTGATTCTTCTTAAATCTATTTTCTTGCAAACGTACTGTTTTGCGACCGTTTCCGTTCATGCGTCTCCCGCAAAAGCGAAGTACAACTCATTCTTTACTAGATATTTTCCAGAAGGTATGACTACTTTGAACAGACCATTATGAAAGGTTGGAATTGAATATTAAGGATAATAATCAAATTGGAATGTATGAACAATTGGAATTTGAAGAATGCATGTTATTTTTCGATCAACTGTATCACAGCTGATTTTAATGAGCTTTTCAAAAATTGGAATATAATCCAAAGTAACTTCTAAAGGGATTTGTTTTGTGGATAGCTTTAATACCACTGAATTTAGTGCTTGAAGTAAATGTTTTGGTTTGATTACACTATGGTGCATAATTCCCAGTATTGCAATAGTAAGTGAGTTTTCTATATCCTGGAGTACTAAAATTATGATATGGTAGATATTAACGATCTCTGAGAATGCATCTATCAAGAAAATGCCATTTTCTATGTAGACTTGTGTGTTAATCACAGCTGTTTAAAGCTAATTTATTTTAGCTTCCAATAGCTTTTGGTTATTAGTAATTTGACTGATAGTTTTATTGAAATTATCGATAAGTTCGACAGATAAGGTATTCTGACTATTGATAGCTAACGCATCCAGGTTTCCTGCGATTGCTTTGAAAATTGAACCTAAGCCGTTTATTAATCCCCTTTTTATTCTAACAGAGAATGATGGAAAAGTTTCGTAAGTTTAGGGAAAAATGTCATTTAGCTTTCCGTATACTTTTCTTTCTAAGAAATACAAAACATTGAGGTAATTTGCTGAGTGTTTATAGTGCTAAATATATTTCCCGGATAATTTCGCTACATTGTCGGTTTTTTCTTAAGGTCATTAACTTCAGTGATTATTAAATTGACGTCGTAAAAATACAGTATTGAGTGACAAGTTTTTGTAATTTTTGTAGTACCTAATTTCATGTGTATCAACCATAGGTTATTTTCTAAATTTTTCAACGTTATCGTACCATGGATTCCTATGATTCCTGGGAACCTGTAAAATAATATAATCGAAAGAAAATTTTATTTTTAGCGTGCAATTAAGAATAAAATAAACGTAGATTACATACATAGTTTCTTATCTAATTGTTCGAGGCTTAGTCAAACGAATAAAGTTTGCGTAGCGGACGTTTCAAATTACTTATATGCACTTTTCCGTGCTGGTCTTTTTCTCCGCTTTAACACTTTGTAGACTGCACGGCTTTGAGAATTTGTTGGCGTGCTTTTTTCTAAAAAGCTTTTTGACGTATACTGTTTCTCGGTTATCAAGTATAGTCCGACTATCGCAATCACTGTTAACGCGTTCTAGCGTTTTCTCTTTGTTTTGAATGAGATCAGAATTTATTTTTGAATACAATAGCTTTGTACGCCCTTTGTTGCTGTTAGTATAGTCATTGAGGAGTAATTGGTCGATTTTGATATCGAATGATCCATTCGACGTAATATGTCCATTGATTATACCTATAGGCTTTAATTTTATGTCAGAATGTAAGGTGTGGTTGTAGGCTAAAATGGCATACAACATTTTCATTTTTATAGGGGTTTTCTGAAAGCCTTATGTGTTCAACAATCTTAAATGTTCGGTGATAGTTGAATGAAATCATTCAACGACTCCATTAGAATCTGGATGATTTGGCGAAATAAAATGAAGCTTAATTTTATGAAGTGACAAAAGTTCAGTTACAACGGTATTTTTGAATTCAGGGCCATTGTCTGTGATAATTCGGGTAGGAATTCAGTGATGAGAAAAGAATAATATCAGATTATCAGCAATTTCAGTTCCTGAAAGCGAAGTAATCTGATATGCTTGAGCATATTTAGAAAAACTGTCTATAATTGTGAGAAATTATGAACCATCAAAAGTGAAAGTATCGATATGTACGATTTCAAAAGGTTTTGATGACGCTCATATCTACATTGTTGATAATCTTCACATTCATATATATAAATGTTTGAATTGATTTTTCCCAGTTAGGCCAAACATATTTTTCTTTTATTCTCTGATGCGTTTCCTCAAATCCACGATGATTCAACTTGCTTTCGTGGTAATTCCGGATAATATCCTTGATATCAGTAACGTCGAATAATTTGGTTCTACACATTTTGAATTTCAAAGTATCGGACTTAAACATCCTTTGTAGAACAACAGAAAATTTTTCATATATATCTGGATTTTCAAAGTATAAGTGATAAATTACGTTAGGAGCAATATAATCTCGAATAAATTTAAATAGATCATCGTCAAAATTACTTTCTGAAAATTGTACGTTAATTCGTTGCTTGCTTTCAAATAAAATAGAAATTCTTGGTGGTGCAGGTGAATGCTTTACTGTGTTCATGATAATCTGGATAGGAATTGTCTGAATGGGGTGTTGGTCCGCATTTGAATGTACAGTTTAGTCTGGATTTTCAGGACGATTATTTTGATATTCTAGATTGACTTGTTCATGTTCAATCATATCTACAATTTCGTGTGGGGGTTGAATAAAAAGACTGTCTTCGTCATTATCGACGTTTACGAACATAGATTCGGTATCAGGTTGTTTTGAGGTAGAAAAGTTGAATGTAGGTGTACTTAATTCAGATGAGTCTTTTTGAACTGGTCGGTCAAACTTAACGTTTTAGTGTTGAGTACCCGCGCATTCTTGAATCAAATCATCTACAATTTCGTCTGGGGGTTGAATAAAAAGACTGTCTTCGTTATTATCGACGTTTGCGAACATAGATTCGGTATCAGGTTGTTTTGGGGTAGAAAAGTTAAATTTAGGTGTACTTAATTCAGATGAGTCTTTTTGAACTGGTCGGTCAAACTTAACGTTCTGGTGTTGAGTACCAGCGCATTCTTGAATCAAATCATCAAGTCGTTCCAAAATGAACTGGTTTCTTTTGTATGGATCTCTACACGAGACTGGGCATCTGCATTGGTATTCAGTTTACCTTTCTTATAGACGATATTCATATCATACTCGTCTAACCTGATTTTCCATCTTAGTAATTTTGAAGAAGGGTATCGAAGAGACCATAAGTACAGTAATTAGAGTAGAGTAATTAGATTGAATTTTCTCCCGTAAAGACAGGGCCGAAAGTATTTAGTCGCCCAGACTATTGCTAGTAATTCTTTCTCAATCGTACTATAATTTCGTTCGGAATCATTAAGCGTGCGCGAAGCATAGGCGATAGGAAGATCCTGTCCTATAGGGCCTGGTGAAAGTACACAACCAAGTGCTACGTTGCTTGCATCCGTGGTTAAGTTAAATGGCTTAGAAAAGTCTGGATACTTGAGTATAGCTTCATTCGTAAGAACATTTTTACATTTTTCGAAACAGTCAATAAATTCAGCATCGTGTTCAATTTTGGCACCCTTTTTTAGACATTTAGTTAGAGGCCTTGTGAGTTTCGCAAAATCCTTTATAAAACGTCTATAGTAACCAATAGTAACCAATGAGTCCGAGAAAGCTTTTAATCTGCTTAGTCGTTTTTGGAATCGGAAATTTTTGGATGGCAATAATTATATCTGGATTTGGCTTAACGCCGTCTGGTGTGACTACATGTCCGAGATAAGCTACTTCTTTACGAAGGAATTCAAATTTGTCGAGCTGTATTTTAAATTTTGAATTTCTGAGTCGTTGAAAAACTGACCTTAAATTTTCAATATGTTCTTGAAGGGATGTAGAAAAAATTATAATGTCGTCGAGATATACGAGACATTTCTCGTTATGTATTCCCCTTAAAATATTATACATGACGGGTTGGAATGTGGCGGGCGCGTTTTTTAGGCCAAAACGCTTCCGGAGAAACTTCCAATGACCATTTTCGGTACTAAAGGCGGTTTTCTCTATGTTTGTTTCCTCCATCTCGATTTGATGGAAACCATTCGCTAAGTCAAGGGTAGTAAAATACTGGCATCTGCCAAGTTTGTCAAGCAAGTCGTTGATATTGGGTAACGGATATTTATCGTCAATAGTCTGTTCGTTTAATATACGGTAGTCAATTACAACTCTCCATTTTTGCTTTCCCGAACCGTATAGCTTCTTTGGAATAGCGATACGATTTTGTCTAAATGGGCCTTTCGTTTTTGGTTTTTATTTGATGTTTGACTTTATTAGTAAATGTTAGTGGAGTTCTGTCCTGGTAAAAAATGTCTGAAAACTGTCTGCAAAGTTGAAGTATCTTTGATTTCTCTTCAGAATTTAGGTGATCAATCCTGATTTTCGACAAATCTAGGTCAAACTTTTCTGATGTGTCTAAATAATAGAGATTTTTGATGAGGGATTACAATTTCACCATTGGCGATCGATGTTTTGATTTTTATTACTTGTTCGGTTCGAGGTGCGACGGTTATCAAATTTAAGTCGTTAGAAAGCTGGTGAAATTTTAGTCTAATTTTGGCGTAGAGCTTATGTAAAGTTCCTTTACTTAAATTAATATCGGCTCTCAATAGTTTTTTATTGTGAAATTTAAATAGGTAAAACTTCAAATCCATACGACTAGGAAGATTGAAAATTTTTGATGCCGGGATGGATGGATGCACTATATTTGTGAGCGGATTTTTGAAAAACAGTTGATTCAACAAATCTTTGATTAAATTTGTAAAATATTTACGAGCAATACTGGGATCAATAAATGACTTAGTTGATCTAGAATCGATCAACATTTTAATTCCATATTCGGGAAAAATAATGTAGGATAGTTCGCTAGCATTGCTGGCGTTAAGTGAAATTACCTCTGGTGCTAGGTTTTGTGGTCTATGAATGAGTCCTTCTGAAAATTTTGAGGTGGTTCTACGTGATCAGTTTCAGGATTATCTTGTGTATAATACTCGCAATACTGATCAGTAAAATATCTATCTGAATTTTGTGGTTCAGCTACAGTTTGATCGCAAACAAAAGATTCGTGACCAGGAACTTCATAGGTGTTATTACTTTCTGTCTCTGTATTGAATAGCTCTTCAGCGATCCAATTTGGTTTTGGTTGTTGCTTGGCTGTCGAATTATGTTCACGTTTGAAAGAAATTCTAGTAGAAGTACTCATTAGAGTAGTTTGTGGCAAAGTACGGTTAGGGTTAGGTTTGAAAACATTTCTGTTATTCTGTGTTTGTCTAAAAACCTGAGAATTCGTGGGAAATCTCTGGGGACGATAAACTGGCCTTGGCAAGTTTACAGGTCTAGTCGGAAAAGTCGAATTGAATCTAGGTTGGAATGTTGAAGTGTTCGGCTGACTGAATGAATAATTAGTAGGCTGAAAGTATGAAGGTGTATTTTGATTAAACATTGGCCTTTGCATTGGCCTGGAAGTTTGATTCTCTGGCACATTTTGTGATTTTCCAAAATTTTTGTTATAATTTTGGAAATAGCTGACATTGTCTTCAGATATAACGAATTGTAAAGCTTGGCTGAGAGATGTGGGTATCATACATCTAATTGTTGTACCCAAGGGCTCTCGTAGTCTGCAAAAAAATGTTTTCAGAGCTAATTCTTGATATAAATTTCTTTTTAACACTTTTGCTTCTTCAGAATGTTCATGTATGCTTACATGGCTGCATAGCAGATTCAAAATATGAAGACACTTATCATAAAATTTTCTGAGGCATTTGTCTCAACATAACCAAATCACGGTTTAGACAGGATTCATCTCTTTGATCAGAAAAATTCCTAGTCAGAATGTATTTTAAATCTGCCCAACTTGTGATATTTTGGATATTAACAAGCACTTTAGCATTTCTTTTAATTTCGAGATCAGTGAATTTAAATAGATATTTTGGAAATAGGGTGGGTTCCGTATATCATAAAAATTTGCAATTATTAATATAATATATTATATAATATATATAATAATTGCTTGGAATATTTTCAATATTTAATCTAGGTGGTCTTAAAATAGGTGAGCCTGTTGAAAGTGTCAAATTATCTATAGCGTCTGCAATATCTTCCAAAGACATTTAAAATGTATAGTTGCACTTACGCTAATACGAGGATGATCAAGTGCATCACGTTTCTTTCTCTGACTTTACTTGGCTGCTTAACTATAAGGGGAAGATCTTGGTTGGGCGATCTGGTCCTTCTCCAAAATGTTTCGCTTGCAGATTTGGGTGATGTGTGGTCCAAATCCTTGACTTCGGCTGCTAGGTCTTCGATAGACCGGTTCCGCTCGAACTCACACTCATACCAGATTCATCAAAAAATCCCTTTTATTTTTCCCTGACGTTATTCGAGATGGCATTTCAAAATAAATTGCATGTCGTCATCGTTATTTATTCTCCTCCACAAGTTGGCGTAGTCAAATTTTCAATTTCAGATTTCCTCTTTAGACTTCCATCATCAGCTTTTTTTTTACATATGGACACTATACTGGAATTTTGTACATTGTCAGTCAGTTAATCTCTGATATATTATACATTTCTGAAATCGTCATATCATATCCACAAGAAAAAATAAAGTTGAAGTTGGAAGACAAGAGACGGAACCTCATAATGAAATTTGAATTATGCCATCAGGTAGAGGAGAAAAAGTGGCAATGTTGACATGCAATTTATTTTGGAATCCTAACTCACACAAAGCCGAAAAAAAATAAAAGTGAATTTGGAATAAATCTTATATGTGAAACAAATCAATATGTAATAATTTCAAGTCCAAAATAGGAAATTCTGTTCTTTCTGAAATAACTAAAGTTTGGCAATGTCAATGTATTACGGATTATACATTTTTGGGATCAGAATCGACTACTTTATTCATTTGTGCCAAAATCCAATATGGCGAAAAAGTTGACACAGGAGGACAAGAGACGAAACGTCATATAGGAATTCTAATTAAGCCATCTTTCATAGGAGAAAAGGTGGCAATGTTAATGTGCAATTTATTTTAAAATCCCACTACAAATAACGTCAAAAAAAAATTAAAACGATTTTGGAAAAATCGGAGGTTTCCGTGTCTCTCCGAAGGTACTTCGAATTTTGAAGCTTTCTAAATGGCATTTCGTACCTAAATACGCAACTTTTTCCCCAATTAAGCGACTTGGATCTCTTACAGTTTCCGAGATCCCAATGGTGAGAGTCTAATTTGAAACACTCTGTATACTTTAATTTGCAGCTTTTGTGGTATTCTGTTTTTATGTTGTGTTAGGTAATGGTTAGACGAATGACCACACAATCAGTATTTACTGTGTTCCATATCGTGAGTATTTACTAATCATTCCGCCAGTGTCGGTCAATTTCTACGTAACCTTATGCATCATTAACACCTGACGGATCACAATAATACTGGTTGTGTGACGTGGTGTCTATACAGGGTTATCCAAATTAAGTGTCCACCAGTAGTAACTTTGTTATTAGTGAAAATACAAAGTTGTTTGAATTAGCAAACTAGTAGCATTTTTAACGCTGGTAAAAATGAGAAATAAAAAAAAAACAATTGAGAGTCGTTATTTTGATTTTTTTCAGTAAAATAACATTTTTTTAAATGGAAACCCCTGTATATTATATTTTTTTCTGTTAAAGCATCAAATTTTAAACAAAAAAGTTCATAATGACTTTTCCGCTAAAGTCAAAAATAAAGTCAAAATAACGATAAATATTTTTAATTATTTGCAGTATTATAATATTAAGACGGCTATGAAAATAACATGGCGTTCGCGATTTGACAGCATTAAGATAAGCGACAAATTGTTAAACTGGACATACTCGCAACTAGAAGGCTTTGGAAAACAATGATAAAATCAAATAATGTCAAACATTAGTGTAAATACTTGTTTATAAGCTTTATTGTCATTAATTTAAAGAAAAATGTTCTCCCATGAAGAAAAGTGTGATATGTTAGAATGCTATTTAGTGTGCAGAAAATCCTCCTTGAGAGCAAGAGAATACTACAGTGAATTATATCCTGCTCGCATTCAACCGTATGAACGATATTTTCTGAGACTTTATCGAAAATTTAGGGGCAACGAAAATGTTTTTGCTAAAACAAGGGCAAAAAAAGAATTCATAATAAGCGAGGCCACGGAAATTGCAGTTATTGGATATTTTGAAGCTTATCGTGAGAATTCAATAGCAGATATTCTCAAGGACTCTAATTTCAGTTATGGTACTGTTCAAAGGATTTTAAAAAAATACAAATTTATTCCGTATAAGTACCGACCAGTTCAAACGCTTTTGGCAGGGGATCCAGAGAGAAGACTTGTTTTTTGCCATTGGTATCTTAGCTTCTGTCGCCAAAATGTAAATAACTTTCGTTACCTTTTATGGACAGATGAATCAAATTTTTCAAATTCTGGAATGTTTAATAGAAAAAACCACCATTATTGGTCAAGAGAAAATCTTTTGTTAGTACATCCAAGAGGCCCACAAGTCCGTTTCAGTTTCAACGTTTGGTGCGGTATAATTGGTTCAAAAATTGTTGGCCCGTTCTTTTATGAGGGAACCCTAACTGGTGAAAGATATGTGGAATTTATGTCAGAAATTCTGACTAATTTCTTAGACGAATTGGATCTTATAAGTAGACATCATCTGCATTTTCAGCAAGATGGCGCACCTGCCCACAACTCCAGAGGTACTTATCATTTTCTAAGTACTACTTTTAATGATCAGTGGATAGGAACAAATGGCCCAATACAGTGGCCTCCCAGATCACCAGATCTAAACCCACTTGATTACTTCTTGTGGGGTTACTTAAAGAACCAAATTTACAAGCGAAGGTACGATAACCTTCACGCGTTAAAGACTGCAGTTAGGGAAAAGATAACCCAGATAGATGGTAGGACCATACTTAAGACAGTTCGAGCAGTTGAAAAACGTACCCAAAAATGTATTGAAGAACAAGGTGGTGTTTTCGAGCATCTTCTTTAAAAAAAATTGTTATTGTATTTTGTAAGATTATAAGTTGATGTTGAAAATAAAGTTTGTCGATACAATTTAATTGTTTCAGATTGGAGGCCATAACTTCAACAATTTGTAACCTAGGAGAAAAGTTATTGTAAGCTTTTTTGTTTAAAATTTGATGCTTTAACAGAAAAAAATATAATATACAGGGGTTTCCATTTAAAAAAATGTTATTTTACTGAAAAAAATCAAAATAACGACTCTCAATTGTTTTTTTTTTATTTCTCATTTTTACCAGCGTTAAAAATGCTACTAGTTTGCTAATTCAAACAACTTTGTATTTTCACTAATAACAAAGTTACTAATGGTGGACACTTAATTTGGATAACCCTGTATAATTGGTGAGTCGTGAGTCTGCTCTATAGATTGTAATACACACGTTTTTGGTTTTTTGGGTGATGAATGATATGGCATGATGTCTTTGCTTGTAACTTGGAGAAAGATGAATATGTACGATGCCGTCTCAATGTCAACATACAGTATGAAATGTTATCCCTGTTGATTTAAAAGTACTTCCTCAAGTTTTCCAATTCCATGTGGATGTTTTCAAACAACCCAGGCATCAGTATAGCTCATTTGTTGAATAAAACTTCGACAAACATACTGAATCTCTCACAGCAGATTTGTAAAAAATCGTAAATTGCCAATTCGCATCCATACAGGGCAGTAATGCTAATAATTATATTATTGAAGCATTACCACCTTATTGCCGCTATTTGGCTATTTGGTCGCCACGTTGGACCACCACCTCTGCCTCTCCCCTTGCCGCACCACAGTTGTCGCTTTAAAAAGCTTGCATTTCGGACGTTTGATTTTCAAGAGCTTGAAGTTTGATGGTTTAAAATGGTTGGGCAAGAAAATATAGCTGCCGAGAAACCGCGATAGAAGACAAATTGCAAGATCGAAACGAGAGACTAGTGGCACAACACGCATGCAGAAAGATGTCTCCCAGAAATACAGAATTCAAATTTGAGATAAACTGAATCAGACATTCTATTTTTGATTTGAATTTGGGAATTTTACTGTGTTACATTTCTGTATGAAAGTTTTGCCACTAGTCTGACGATTTGGTCTCCCGAATTTGCAACCGTTGACACGAGGGACATTTTGTGGTGCATGGGATCTATCATACTTTTTGAAATGCTTGCTCAATACTGCCACAGTTAGTGGTCTTAGCCATAAACTACTATTGTGATGTAAACTTACCTTGGACCCAATCAAACAAGGATGTATTTTCATAAACATTTTTGAAAATTAAACCATGAAAGGGAAATGACTAAACAGAAATTAGGGTTTAACAAATACATTCATATTTATTTAATATGCAATACAAAGAGAATCAATTCACATATTAGAATATATTTACCTATAATATAAAAACAATTTCGGTATCTATTATCTACAGTATTTCTCCTCTTGAGCAAATACTTCTATTGTATGTGTTTAAAAAAATAAGACTATTGTACATTGATTGAGCATTAGTAACCGTCATTTATGTTAATGGCAATATATTGAGATTACTTGTGTGTTGTTACAAAACAAAAAGATCTGTAAATGAAAATATACCGACAAAAAAAACAAACTGAAATGGTTATCTTGTCTTATCAAAGTCGCTGGACGTAAATTTTTTCGATTTTTAAACACATATATACCGTTGAGTTCAGTAATTGATTTTTGAGATTGTCTCACAAACAGAAAAGTCAATGCACACTATAAAACGCACAATTTTTCACCATTCCGAGAGAGTTAAAC